TTTGATACTGTCATGGACCAAGAAGACTAGAAGACATTAACCTTAAGAATTTTTAAATTCATTGAATCCTTTTGGGCTGCCCCCATATTCTTATTACTTAAAAAAATACTAAATAACTTAAAAAGTGGCACTCCCATTATTTTATTACGAAACCTGCGGCCACCAAGTATATGTAACGGAACTATGTTTCAAGTTAAATTTCTCGGTAGGTATATCTCATATCCTCGATATCCTATAATACCTACAGATTTACCATTTAGTTTTAAAAGAATACAATTTTCCATAACTCGAGCGTAGTAAATATGTAACTAGGTATTTGATGTCGGTAGGTGATGCCGGTATACGTAGGCATTTCCCCATGTAAAAAAAAAAAAGGTACAGTGTACAGTACAGAATACAGTGGTAGTACTTGTTGATTTTTCAAATGCTTTTAACACAGACTACTACGATATTCCTTATAGACTTCCCAACTAATCTTATATTCTCAATCTCAGCTTTGGAATGATTTTCATCCTATATTCGCCGCCAGCAATCAGTACGCCTACTCCTACTCCTTTTGAAAAGACCGACAACGCATGTGCTATTCCCCTGGTGTTGCAGTTGTTCATGGGCGGCGGTAGTCATTTACCATCAGGTGAGCCGCATGCTCGTTTGCCCCCTCTCTTATAAAAAAAGAAGTACGATTAGGACAAGGTTCTCAACATGGGCTGACATTAAAACAGGCATTTCTTTCGAAGCTCCCTTCCTATGGGCTTCCCGAGAAATTGTGCAATTGGATCACCAGCTTCCTTGCAGATCGGAGCATCAAGGTCGCTATAGACGGTGCATGCTCCGACTACAAGCCTATTATCGCTGGTGTTCCACAACGCTGTGTGCTATCACCAACGTTGGTTCTTCTGCATATCAATGATATGTTGCTAACTGGTAACATTCATTGCTATGCGGATGACAGCACTGGTGATGCTCTATACACCGGCCGTGCCAATATTTCTCGGGAAAACGTCGCCGAGTACCGGAACAAACTTGTGTTTGAAGTCGAGTGTTTGCTGGACAAAGTCTCGGATTGGGGGCAACTAAATCTAGTCCAGTTTAATCCTCAGAAGACACAAGTTTGCGCGTTTACCGCTAAAAAGAACCCCTTTGTCGTATCTCCTTAATTTCAAGGCACTCACAATAACAAGGAGTTTCGTAGTTTCAGCCTGCAGTTTCGTAGTCACTTGGAAGAAAAAGCCAAATTGGGCTAAAGCTTGGCGTGCTCAGCAGAGCGGGACAGTATTTCATGCCGGCACACCGCCTGCAACTTTACAAAGCGCAGGTTCGGCCTCACATGGGATACTGTTCCCATCTCTGGGCAAGGGCTCCCCAATGCCAGCTCCTTCCACTTGACCGCATCCAGCGCAGAGCGGCTCGAATCGTCGACGATCGAGTCCTTTCCGATCGGCTCGATTCATTAGCACTGCGAAGAGATGTTGCATCCCTTTGCATTCTCTTTCGCATTTACCACGGGGAGTGCTCTGAGGAATTGTTCAGATTAATCCCAGCCGCCAAATTTCACGAACGCACATCGCGGCAGAACTACCGATACCATCCCCACCATCTGGATGATTGGCGGTCCACCACTGTGCGATTTTGAAGATGTTTTCTTCCTCGCACGACTTCCTTGTGGAATCGATTACCATCAGTGATTTTTCCGGACCGATACTTAGGGACCTTCAAGAAAAAAAAAGGCGTGCTGCCAAGCTGAATACTTTGTCCTATAATGTTTGATTTATTAATAAATTCTATTACTTCAGTTTTCTCAACTGTTCGTACCATCTGTATGCAGATCATCTTCAGCTGTATGTGCAATCTAGTGTTAACGACCTTACTGATAATAATAATAAACTACACCACGACCTTGATGCCATGAGAGATTGGTCATACAGACATGGTATTTCGGTTAACCCTTCCAAATGTAAAATAATGGTCGTATTTACTAGCAGGATGTTTGCTAAAATTGATAACGTTAATCTTTCTCCTGTATTTTACAATAGAACGTTGCTGCTATTTTAAAATTCTGTCAAAAATCTTGGCTTACATATCTATACCATACCTTAAACTGGGGAGTTGAATTTGTTGAAATAAGCCATAAAGTTACTGCCATCTCAAGTTCTATTTGTCGTCTCTGCCTTTTAAAACTAAACTTCTACTTATCCATTTTTGATTATGCGGATGTATGTTCCAGATAAGTTGGAGCGCCTTCACAACAATTGTATTAGATTAATTTTCGGCTTACGTATGTATGACAATAATTCCCAGTACCGTTCAAAACTTAAATGGCTTTATATTCGTCAAAGGCGTAGCTCCCGAATTATACAAGTAGGTACTATATTCAATTTTAAATGACCCAAATTCTCCTTCTTATCTTAAGGATAACTTTCAGTATCTGTATTCAACTTTCGATAGAGTACTTCATTACCCAAAATAGTCTTAAAAAAATTCGTATTCCACAACATAAGAACGGCTTCTTTAATTATTTTACTGTGCAGTCCATACTGCTCTGAAATGCCCGGTCTGTTGATATTAAGAAAACTAGTAACAGGAATTATTTTAACCGACTTCAAAAAGGAGGAGGTTCTTAATTCGACTGTTTTTTTGTGTTACCTTGCTTTCTTTCTCCCACATAAACTTGATCAAGATCTGCACAGTAGTTATTGAGTTATCCTTAATAATGCATATTTTTATACGTGGTAGAGCCACGCTGCAGCTATATTAAGTTATTAAGGTTGTAGCACGAATAGGTTGGCTCGACTAGTCGAGTCGCTGGTATTCTGTGTTCTCACAGACACCCATTCTGTGAGAGCACAGAATACCAGCGTAAAATAGCAGCTTAATGCTTTTGTGTTTCGTATGGTGAGTGTAGAGAACCGGAGACCCTTTTTACTGGATACAAGGCATTCCACCTTAGTCCTTAGGGGTGACAACGCATCTGCATTTTGATTCTTAATCGAGAATAAATTTTTTGACATCTTCGCGAAGATTTCAAAATAAGTAGATCTGTATATTTAACTCATTTTTGAATGACTTGTGGGTTGGAACGTTTTTGTATAACTACGTCCAAATGTAGAAGTATGGGCCACAGCATCCACTTACCATCAGGTGGATTGTGTGCTCGTTTGTCACCCTTATTTTATTAAAAAAAATTGATTATGTTCTAATTTTATTTATATTGAAGCCGGTTGTACAAAATTTTTAATTTTACCATTTGTAAGAGACCAGTTCGAGAATTCTGTGATAAGAATAAATACCACCTGATTTATCAGACTTTTTTTCTCTCTTTCGCTTTATAAGTGACTGGCGATCCGCCTTTGCTTCGCAGGGGTGATTTGACAGCGCTACCTACCGTGTAAATTGAGTCGTTTAGTTCATCATCCAGGGACCCCACTCTCAAGCTCAAAAATTTCATTAAAATCTGTCCAACCATTTTGTCGCAAAAACTAAAAAGTTTTTGCGAGATTATCAGACCGCAATTAATTTTTATACATTGATATTCTGTATAATATGTAGTTTTATTTTATTTATTTAAATATGCATTTTATTGTTTCTTATATATTAATTAAATTTATGAAGGGATTGTTTACACCTGCCAGTTTCTCAAATCATTCAGGGTGGACTGGTAGAGAATGCCATAAGGCATTAAGTCCTAAGGGTTTATTTTTATAGGATAGGATGACAAACGAGCACACAGTCCACCTGATAGTAAGATGGAATGCCTCTTTTCTAGTAAAATGGGTCTCCGGTTCTCTATACTCCCCATACGAAACACAGCAGAGTCAAGCTGCCATTTTACGCTGGTATTCTATGAGAGCGTGGTCCTTCCCCGGTCGAGCCGACCCATTCTTGCTACACCTATACAAAGGTAAAATAAAGATTATATATTTTAAAACGATATTTCCACATTATTTCTTCTGCGGCAGCAACAGTAGGTACCAGTTTGTCTAATATATAATCACAGATGTCGTTTTAGTGCCTCAAAAGAAAACCACAAATTCTGGGTCGGATAGGTAGCGCTAATAATAATAATTAGGTACCTACCTATACATACTTATTTTATTACTAGTCCGGTATAAATTTCCAGTTATACCATAGAATAAATTATAGTGCAAAATGTTATACTTACTTCAGAGCTGATCCCATATAAATTTGGAAAAGAAATTCCGACCCTAAGGGATGTAAAATAGGGGTGAACTTTTTAAAGGACTATTTAGCCTACAAGTAAGGATAAAGAAAAATAACTTTCCTAAAAGTAAAAGCACGCTTCAAAAAAAGTAAGATGATTTCACATTCTGTCGGGATTAAACTGTTTTATACACCAACTTCAGAGCGTGAAGTTATTTTATTATTATTATTTGTTTGAACTTAGCTTCAATTCAAAATTGTTTCAATTAGGTACGATTTTTGAAATACATCAAACAAGGACTAATCTTATATGCTCTAGTTGGGAAGGTGAACTTACACTTTTAATTCCCCCCGCTATCAAAAACTAGATACTTTTTTAAATTGTTTTGTGATAAAATAGAGGTAACTTAAAATTTAGTCAAAGAAAAAAAAAAGAACAAATTAAATTAAGAAAAATTATTATTTTAATAGATTGAAATGTATTTGAATTCTTTTTCTTATAATGTATAATGCTAATTTTATATGCAGGAATGTAAAAAAAAATATTTTAAAACTTGTTTTAACTAAAAACCTTTAATGTTTATTAGGGTACAAAAGTTTTGCTTAAGAAAATAAAACTAAAAGTTACTGGAGGCTACTTTTATTCTATGAATTTACATCAGTTGCAGTCATAACAAAATATTTCAGATAATATATAACCTTATAAATTATAATATGTTACTTATAAGCCTTGTAAAAAATATAGAAAAGGAATGAGTTTGTAGCCCTTTTTTCCTTCGAAACACCTTTCGGTGTATGAAGTATCGCAGCTGTATAAAGAATTGTGCTGTAAACAACACTAGCTACTTTTTGCCCTTAGTGGCCTTCTCAGCAGCTTTGGTGACCTTACCACTGCCAGCCTCCTTGAAGTTAACAGCCTTGATAACACCAACAGCAACCGTCTGCCTCATGTCACGCACAGCAAAACGACCAAGGGGAGGGAATTCCTGGAAGGATTCCACACACAGAGGCTTGGAGGGCACTAGGTTTACAATGGCAGCATCACCAGATTTGATGGACTTAGGGTTCTCTTCAGTAGATTTACCAGTACGACGGTCAACCTTCTCTTTGATTTCAGCGAACTTGCATGCAATGTGAGCTGTGTGGCAATCCAATACAGGTGTGTAACCATTGGAAATTTGACCAGGGTGGTTAAGGACAATGACTTGTGCAGTGAAGTCCGCAGCTCCCCTAGGTGGGTTGTTCTTGGAGTCACCAGCAACATAACCACGACGTAATTCCTTGACAGATACATTCTTTACGTTGAAACCTACATTGTCACCAGGTACAGCTTCTTGGAGAGCTTCGTGGTGCATCTCAACTGACTTAACTTCAGTGGTAATGTTGGCAGGAGCGAACACAACAATGGTACCAGGCTTCAGGACACCAGTTTCCACTCTGCCTACGGGCACTGTACCAATACCACCGATTTTGTATACATCCTGGAGGGGAAGACGTAGGGGCTTGTCGGTGGGACGAGCAGGGGGCAGGATAGCGTCCAGGGCCTCAATGAGGCATTTACCCTCAGCCTTACCTTCCTTGCGGTCAACTTGCCATCCCTTGAACCAAGGCATCTTGGTTGATGGCTCCAACATGTTGTCTCCGTGCCAACCAGAAATGGGTACGAAAGCAACAGCAGCAGGATTGTAACCAATCTTCTTAATGTACGAAGATACTTCCTTCTTAATTTCCTCGAAACGAGGTTCACTGTATGGTGGCTCAGTGGAGTCCATTTTGTTGACACCTACGATCAGTTGCTTGACGCCGAGTGTGAAGGCGAGAAGAGCGTGTTCACGGGTCTGACCGTTCTTTGAAATACCAGCTTCAAACTCACCAGTACCAGCAGCAACAATAAGCACGGCGCAGTCAGCCTGTGATGTTCCTGTGATCATGTTCTTGATGAAATCTCTGTGTCCAGGAGCGTCGATGATGGTAACATAGTATTTGCTGGTTTCGAACTTCCACAAAGCAATATCGATTGTAATACCACGTTCACGCTCGGCCTTCAGTTTGTCCAACACCCAAGCGTATTTGAAGGAACCCTTACCCATTTCCTGGGCTTCCTTTTCGAACTTCTCGATGGTACGTTTGTCGATACCACCACATTTGTAAATTAAGTGGCCGGTGGTAGTGGACTTGCCGGAGTCGACGTGTCCAATGACGACAATGTTAATGTGAGTCTTTTCCTTTCCCATTTTTGGTTAGTCTAGAACAAGAAAAAGAAAAATATTAGTGAAATAATGCAACATTGCATATCTTATAGCGATAGACTTTAGGAAGGTCATCGCCTCGTGTAACGATACGCGGCCGGCAACATGGCGGCCGCATGGCCGCCTCGCCCTATCTTGACACTTCACAATGGATGTCAGCCATTACGGAGTAAAGTAAGAAAGTATACGAACTACAATATTTTGCAGATTACTTTAAAATACTATGTTGCTTAATAATAAGCAACACTAGCACACGCACCATGAAACAATGCATTTCGCAACCACGTGGTAACATGTGCCGGTCGATGCGAAAGTATGACGCGTAAGCAATCGCATTCAATATTTAATTAATTTCATATAGAAATAATAATATTAGATCAAACAAAATAGAAAAGAAATTAATTAAATAGGAAATCCAATTACAAGATGAAGAAACTGGTGATAGATAATAACAATATCCAATAAGAGAATATCTTTAGGCAAAAATATTACTACAAACTTACGATAAAACAGTTGTTATAAATATACTAACACAAATGCTTGTTATTATTGAAAAGTAAATCACTTGGTTTTTCACAGCACAAAAACCGATTCTTCTGACACTCACCACGGATTACAGACAGCGTGTAATATCCGAGAGAGACTCCAACAGAATGGACGAGAAATGGATTTTGATTCAACTTGAATGGAAAGATAGGAGTCACGTCCGGTGTACAGTGTGGCTATATACAAATAATAAATTTAAAATTATTAAAATGAAGATATTTATTTAAACATTATTTGGCTTGATACTATTTACTTTACAGTATTTATGAATTCAGGAAATTAGTGTGTTTATATTGTAGTACTAAACACAAAAGTATAAAATGTAATATTCCAACTTATTGAAAAACTTCAGTATTCAATAAGTTGGAACATTCATCTATTTTTTAAACCAGAAACAGCGAGGAATGAATATGTGTATTTTTATCTATATTTAATTCCCGCTTAGAATGGGGTCGTTATATTTATTTATGGCCTACTGTGCCATTTCTACTAATGTTATGTAAGTTATTGAAATAAAAAGAAAGCATTAATATATGTACATTTTATTGGCAAGATGCATTTCTCTAGGTGTAGTATTATTTTGTGGTATTAATAGAGCTAATTAGTGGCGGCGTTAAAATACCCACTACCCCATATCATCCCGTGACTCTCGTAAAAGATGACTGAGGAAAATAGAAAGAATAGATGAGCATTTCTCTAATAACAACTAAATAGTATGTATAAACGGTTGCCGACACGCCTGCCAACCATGGAAACTATGAAAAATATCCCCCTACGAGACAATCAATGTCATATGTTGAGCAGTAGACTTTTAGTTGACTGAAATAAGTGAGTAATGAAAAAAATGTATTAATTATATTAGAACGGCTGCTGCGCCGCGGGCCCTGAGTATTAGTTCTAGCGAATAATAAAATACTATGTGCAAGAATAAAAAAAAATTTTTTTTAAATGTAATGTTGGTTTAATTACAAACATGCATTATTACTATTCACAAACTTTTTAACTAAACTTATCCAGGTCGTACTAATAGTTATATAATAGATGAATAACAAAGGTGACAAACATGCTAAACATAAAGCTAAACATGCCCATATTAATAGATGGTAGTTGAAATTAGCTGGTGCAATAAATTCATTTAAAGAAAAAACGAAGTCAAGAAAGAAAGAGACATTAATCTGAGAAGTAAAAAATGTAGAAGATGAATAATTAAAAATAAAAAGGTAATAAGTTAATAACAACATAGTGATGGTCAATGATCAATGCAATAATAAAGACTAAAATTCCTTCATTATCTTCGTATTAAAATAATCAAACAACAAACCAGAAATAAAAGCATGATAAATATATATCATAATAATAAATCTTTTACTTTTACAGAAGGAGAGCCATGCTTTTTGGATATATGAACGACTACTTGAGCGTATGTGTATTTCTTTGTGTTTTGACGGAATTTAAGTTTAGATGTCGTTGAATTCGTCTTTATCCTTAACAAAGTACGTGAAGTTTTATCAATATTAAATTACGATGCATTAAAAATTCTAACCAAACGAGTCATTAAGAACCTTAGAATGGATCATTCCAGGCGAATTCTTTGTTTCTGAATATATATTTTTATTGCTTAATAGAGTTGACCCATGTCTACCGTAACTTTATATGAACGGCGTTTCTTAGCTAAGAAAATTTCATTAACGTAAAAATGTTTTTCGTTTTATAAATTGAAACTTATCATGATATAACTCTAGCAAGATCATTACTGTTGTAGGATTGTCATCAGCTGAAATTTGCATATAAGTTGATCAAGTAGGGTTATTGATTTTAATGTGTTTTTGTGTACAAATTGACTGAATAGGTAGGTCCAAATTCGTCCGAAAGCTCAAAAAAGTATCCAGGTAGGCTGGGCATCGTCCGGGAGGTGACAACACATTTTCTAATCACGTATTCCTCAAAACCAGCCATTAGAACAATGGCTTTTCCAAAAAGTAAATTACTACACTTTTCCATAGCTAACCTCTATGGTTAAGCATAAACTCTTCTTTTCAAAAATCGTTCGGCAAATTTTATTCACAAAGGGCAAGCTGAAAATCGCTTATCACCTCTGGGTTTCCGGTGAGTAATTTTATTCTCATAAGTTGTTGGTTTTTCGATACTACTATTTACTACTATTTGTTTACTGAGCATTATGGCTGGATCATACAACGTAGCGAACACTGCATTATAAGACAAGTTTAATAATGCAGTGACAAAGAGTTTTGGAAATATAACGACATTCTTTTCATTCTTAAACCTCTTTGCAGGTGAATAGGCTACGTATTCTGGTTCTGAACTCGGATAGCCTTACTGTCCAAATACTTCAATGAATAGATATATCGACACACAACACACCGTTCTTTTTTATAGCCCGCATATAAAAGTCGAAGTGAAAGACTGTACTATTCAGTCTTCTGGAAAATTTATTGAAATGTATGAATGTAGTATTTGATACTAAAAACTTTCGGAAACCGGCTTCTTCAGAAATACGCATGTGATACCAGCTGCAATCAGAGCTAAGACTCTCAAAATTAGCACAAATATAGATGTGGTTCAGAAAGAAAATCAATGTGTCTGTAATTATTCAATAGAGCATTGTCGCCTTCTTAAAAATAAGACCACCACAATTTTTCTCTACGACTCCAGATTAGGGCCACTAACGAACCGAACGACGGAATTGAATAGGAAAATTAATATTGCCTAGTATTTTGTTATAAAAATAAATATCACAAGTATATTTTGCATCATCATTCTATTTCAATTGAAAAATGACAAAACCTTACATACTCGTATAAAATGATTTCATTACTGTAAAAAGTTTTCATAACGCAAAACACTAAAGATCACTTTATCCGATTTTTAACACCTTATCTGCAGCTCCCCGACAACGGACTGGTATATTTTACATCTGACCTAAACGAACCACCATTTATTTATAGGTTGCCGGTGTAATCTAGCTATGCTAGTCACTATGATACTCACGGAAAGAAATCGGGTGATAGATTCTCACACGCCACTGTCTTGACACCACATGACAAGGCCTTAATTTGTGCAATTTTAAGTTGTTAATTTTTTTTTTATAGGATAAGGGTGACAAACGAGCACACAGTCCACCTGATGGTAAGTGGTTGCTGCGGCCCATAGACATCTACATCTATCCTCGTTTGCGAATCAAAATGCAAATGCGTTGTCACCCGTGAGGACTAAGATGGAATGCCTCGTTTCCAGTAAAAAGGGCCTCCGGCCACCTGCACTCACCAAGCGAAACGAAGAGGTAAACCTCTACTTCACGCTGGTATTCTGTGAGGTCGTGGTACGACCCCGGTTCGAGCCGGCCCATCCGTGCGACAGCAAAAGCTGCCGCGTGGCTCTACCACTGTTAAAATTGAACAGCTAAAATAAATACCCCTTATACATGCCCTTCATTTATAGTAAAACGAGTCGTTACAAACCACGAAACATTTCTGAATCAAGCAAAGCTCCTGATAATGTAGCCAACAATGTACTCTACACATAATATAAGAATCGATTATAAACTCAAATGAAATTCCGTGGAATTGAGCTTATTAAGGATTTATTTTTGTTTTGTATTAATGATTCTTATTCTAGAAGTAAATTTTCAGTTTTGATAATCTGAAATATTTTACTCGATACTACTCATAGTTTTACTTTAGTAAGTTTGTATTAATTTTACTGTAGGTATATATTGACTATGTTCAGTGACGTAATTTTTTTATTTGTTGAATAATGTTGATGATATAAATCTCTTGTGGATTTTATTATGTCAGTTAATTTTGATAAAAAATCCTACAAATATTGTAAACATGAAAGTTTGTGAGGATGTATGGATGTTTGCTACTCTTTCACGCAAAAACTACTAAATTGATTTTAATGAAACTATAATTATATACCTAATAATACTATAATTTCATGAAGATATTGTGTAAATTGTCCAAAATATAATGATAAATGTTAAGTAAGTTGGAAAAAATCTGTCAACGGCGAGCTATTTTGGCGTAAGGTGCAAAAACTGTAAGAGTTACAGGAATATAAGGTATAGGGACTTGTTTTTCCTAAATATTTCTACAAAAAATTCCGCGAAAGTATATATCTTACACATTTTATGTGTAAGCCATTATTACCAAAATAGTGAAGCATAAAAACAATAAAACCAAATTGATTTTTATTAAAATAAATACTTTTATCGCTTCCGATATTCAAAGTAGACAAACTTTGTCTTTTAAACTTCGTAATTTGGTCAAATATTTTAAAAGTTGCTACGGTATAAAATTGCGCGTTCCGGCGCGCACAGAGCAGTCGGGCGCATTGCGGGCGAGGTAGGGAAAAACATCGTTCATCGATATGGTGCTTATGCATGGCAGACACGTGAGCCTAGATTATCCATTTATACT